GCACCCTGATTGGCTTGTCTCCTCCCTGAGACCCTTCTGTAAGGGGCTTAAAAGGAACTTTTACTGCAAGGGAGGAGGCTGCTACATTTCAGATTTCCAACAAACTAAGGCCTATATCTTTAATAAAACAAACCAAACACACTGCCATTGGGTTGATTCCCACTCATAGTGATCCTACAGGGCAGATTGGGACTGCCCTTGTGAATGGATGAGACTGTGGACCCTTTCTAGAGTAGAAAGCCTCATCTTTCTCTTGAGGAGAGACTGGTGGTTTAGAATGGCTCACCTTGGGATTCGTAGGCCAACACTTTCTTCCTGAGAAAGCCCTGGAAGAGGGGGATTATCCTAATTGGGCTAGAGGTGTGAGTGTGGGCAATAGAGCCCAGAGGCCCTGAGCACTCTGGCTCACCAGCCTCAGCAAAGGCATCTATGAGTCCAGCTGCAGGCCACCTGAGGCAAGGCCACCCCAACCCCACATCCGGAGCCGCTGAACCACTGCAGGAAAACAAACTTGGTGGAGCAGCCATTCTCATGCACTCCTGGCAAGCAGCCAAGAATCTGGTACCACCAGTCTGCACCCTGGCTCCCAAAGTGGAACACACCTGGGAACCAGGTCATCAACCAGGTGGTGGTGGAGTCCCCCTCCCCCCTGTTCTTCCAAGGCCAAAGGGGGCACAAAATCCTGAAGTCACAGGAAGCCTGCAGGTTCTACAGTCTCCCAGGGAAGGTGGCTTCAGGGAAGGGCGAGGCTGCAAAAGTCTCCAATTAATGCAAGTGATTTGCCACCTGGGAGCTCCCCAATTTTCTGGGGCGCTGGGGCCTGGCCTGGTGAATGGCTTTCTTTCTTTCCCTGCAAAATAAAAATCCTTCTCAGGTGTGTCTCTCGGGAGAGGATGCCCACAGGAGAGTGGGGTGGGGGGAGATATTACCCTCCACCTGTGAGACAGGTATTACCTGCCAGCCCAGCTAGGCTCGGGTTTGCCCAAGCTTGCTGCCAGGTGGGCCTGACAGGGCACAGTGGCGGGTTACTTAATCAGGACCAGGGGGTGGGGGCCCTCAGGCCTGGCAATAAGGACCTTCAGACACCTCCTTTCTGGTGAAGATTGCCAGCAACCCCCCAAGTCAACAGAGAGGCTCCTGGGGCCCGGGGTAGCCCAGCAGAGCGCCTGGCAAGGTGGGGTACAGATGGAAAGTGGGGTGGGCTCCCAGGCTGGGGTCAGCATTCTTGGGTCTGTGGGAACTGGTCTGGAGACTTGAGCAAGGGGCCCTTTCAGCTCCCAGAGTTTCTGTTCCCCAAAAGTGAAGAAGTATCTTGCCCAATCCTGCCTCTGGGGCCAGAGGTACTGATGGGAAATGGGCTGGAGATAAAAAGAAGACTCCTGGGAGGAGGAAGGGGCTAGGGGCTGGCCCTCTGGGCCTGGCAGAAGAGGGGTATTGGCGGTAGGAATGAAGGAGGCAGTGGAGCAGAGCCATGGAGGTGAGGGGGTAGGAGGGAGGTGGCTGGAGGCACAGAGGAGCCATTGTGAAGAAGGGGTCGCGTGCAGAGGGCTCTCTCCTAGGCTGTGCCCTGGGTGGGTGGCTGCACCAAGCTCCCCTCTGCAGGGCACCCCTCCCTGCTAGGACTGCTGGGGCACCAGCCAGGGACGCAGAGAGGAAGCAGGGAAGGCCCACCACAGGCAATCTTCCCTTCTCTGTGCCTCAGTTTCCCGTCATCCAGCCCCAAGGATTTTCAGGCTTGACAGAAAAGCCCCAATGGTGGAGATCTTCAAAAAGGAAGTCATCCTGGGCTGGTTTTAACACACGCCCCGCCCCCGG